AAACTCCACTATTTTGCAAGGCTTGGTAGGGACATTTCAATTATATAACAAAGTACAACTCCGGAAAGCCATCTTGAGGTGGTGGTTGTGACTTGTTTTGAATCCACATTCTTGACAAAATGAATATTCTTTTTCTTCCTCATTCAACGCATTCATTTTTTTGCCAAAAGACGTTAAATCGAAAGAGTCAGAGGCTCGTCGAAAGTTGAACAGCTTCGAGGAGAAGGCAACTCACTTAAGCGGTGATCTAAAGGAACGTGAGCAGTTGATACGTGAAAAGGACAGTCTGATTATCGAGTTGAATCGGAAGCTGAAGTCGAAGGAGAGTGACACAGCTCAAGCAGAGGCGGTGATGAGGGACACGAAACGACGGCTTGTCGAGACAGAGAAAAATTTGGCCGAGTCCATGAAGCGGTAAGTCTAAGTGATGCCTTTTACTAGACGTTCGAGGGTTTTCAGGAAGGTTCGATCGTAGGAATATTCCTCGAAGAGCTGAAAATTACCCGTTTTGGCTCTCCATCTTCCCCTCTTATTTGAAATTTTGCCTTACCTGTACGTATGGCTTAGACAAAGCATCGAGATGAAACCACACACATAACTCATGTCTATGAAAGTGGATCTAAGTATATTTTATAAATGTATGTCTTTTATAAATCCTTCAAAGTATTCCGGTAGATTGATAGATCCCCATTCTAGCCAAAACAAAATTTCTGTACATGCACGAGTCTGGATGAGTTACACTAAAAACGAATCAGTCTCTTGATTGCAAAACAGTCTCTCAGAAAGGCCACCTTTCTGTATGAAAGAAAAGAAACTCAAATATCCATTCTGTGGGTAAATTGTATCAATTAGGAGTGAAATTCATTAATTCATGAATAGAAAGCTATCTTTTAATTAGCAAATTATCCTATATCGGAATATGATGGCAATAAATTTATTTGAATTTTATTTCAATATTAGATTGAATGAACAGCTAACCTCGTTGGTCCTGGAAATTGATTTATTGGATAAGTTCAATCTTCTTTATTGTCCTCGAAACTGGCCAATTCTTATCCAGTTAAGATTTATCCGAAGGGGAAATTTAATCTAACAAAAACAATAAATCGGTTTAATTCTTTCACTATACAGTTAGTCTCACAACTCTACTTATATGCGAAAAATAATTCAATAGCGTCTTTTGCAGGTCGTTTAAGAAGATTTAAGGGCTGACAATGGAATCTTCCCAAGATGATATGGGTAGCACTCAAAATTCCATAAAATGTCACATATTCTTGCCTCCAACTTAAGAAAGGAGGGATTTTAGGTGAATAAAATATGTATTTGTCATTGTACTAGATATTTTTTACATATTTTAGGTGGGATTATGTATCGAAATGATCAATACTTAATAAGCAAGTACTTTGTTGCATAATGAGATTTAAGGAATAACAGTCGAATTGTATGAGAAGTATCAATCTTTAAATCTTGATAAACTGGCCTAGTTCTGATACTTTCGGAACATACTCGCATTGACACTTCTTTCCTGTTGTAAACGATGACATCCACGTTATGAAAGCCAAAATACTGTGGCCTTTGCTTTGGTTACGGTATCCTTAGGCTGTTTGCAAGTGAATTAATCTCGTTTTCGCAGGTTGGTTGTGTTGTTTGGGCGATAGTGTGACACTGAGAATTATCATAGCTACTATAGCAGAGGACTTCGACTGAGGTTTTTTCAAATATGCCTCTCCGTAAACACGATAAAGTTGCGGAAAAATCTATGAATATGTGCTGTT